AAAAAAAAAAAAAAAAAAAAAAAAAAAAAAAAAAAAAACCAATACAAGTTTATTTTTCCAGAGTTTCTGTGGAGCAGGAGCCTGGGTATGGGGTCTCACCTGGCAGAAAGCAAGGTGTCAGCCAAAGCTGCTTCTTTGATTGTTTCTTTTTTTAAAGCAACCTGTTCTTGTTTTATAGAAGCAATATCTCCTTGAATCTCTCTGCAGATACTAAATAGAAGTTTTAAAGACCTCTGCTGTTGTCTGATATATCTGTTTCCTTTGGGATTAGTTGTTCCGTTTGTTTTTCTTGTCCTTTCTCTTTCATAGTGCTGGCTTTTCTATGAAAGTGATCCTCGATTGTTCATCCAACTAGATTAGTTATTCTGGGTATTTGTCATTGGTTACTCTGCCTTAAGTACATAAGTCTGGTGTCTCTATAGGGTGAGTGTAGAGGGCTTCATTATAGGGAATGAGAGGAGCAAGCCAGCTATTAGACTGGGGGCCGCATGAAAGCCAGAATGATTAGCACAGCAGGGACCCTCATTCAACCTAGACACTTCATTCATTCTCTTTAGGGACATTGACCCCTTTTTATGGGGCTGGGGTGTGAGTGCTGGGGATATACACCAGGCTGGTGGCTCCTCTGCTTATGGAGGGGAGGAGTAAGGTGTCTGTTGGCACAGGGCAGTTTCCTCCTTCTCTTATGCTAGTCCTGAGCACAAAGCCTCTGAGGTTCTCTTTGGAACCCCTTGTGATCCTCTTCCTGAGGTGTTATAGGTTGGGCTTCCTCTGCTCTGTTTTCTTCATTGACATGCTCCTGCTTTCTGTCCTTTGGAAAATTGTTAATCTCTCACTTGGTGATTTCCTCCTTCCTCTCTGCCCTGCCCTTTTCATTATTCTGTGTCCTATTCCCTGTGGCTCTTTGCTTTTTTTTTTTTTTTTGATTGTCTGTCAAGACTAAATTCAAGTACATAAAACAGAAAGTCTAAATAAGAGGATTTTTTTGGTTCACTAATTTAACCAAAAAACAAGTCTAGAGATGGGCCATCCAGGGCTGTTGTGGCAGCTCCAGGAGGCTGTCAGACATACTGGCTTCTTTCTTTCTGCACAGTCATTTGGAACACCTGTCTTCCATTTTCAGAACTGCCTCATGGAAGCAGATGGTTGCTGTAGCTCCAGCCATCATGGTCTTATTGTAGGCAGAAAGAAGTTAAAAGGGGAGGTAGGACAGAAGGTGCAAACCAGTTGAGGCTGCTCCACTTTGAAAGAGTCTTTATGGAAAGCCCTGCGCAGTAACTTCTGATTATATGTCATTGGCTTCTACTATCTGCCAGGGGTTGGGGAAATTTAGCATTTTAGCTGAATATATTATTATTCTCAATAATATAGGAGTTCTGTTGGTGAGGAAGAAAGGAAGAATTGATTCTGGGTTTCTGCTAGTACTTTCACACTATTATTTTAATGGTACTTTAGGTCTGGAGGGAGGAGGCTAACAGGCTCAGCCTAGTGTCTTGCACTGCAAGTGCTGTTCTTCAAAATGCACAAAGACCCTTTCTTCTAAATGATAGTAAGTTTCAGCCTAGAATGATTAATGGCAAATATATTCTTATATATGAGAAGAACTTTTTATTACAGTTTTGGCCGCCCAGGTTTAATTGGGTACATTTTCTTATTCATTATTGTGCTGTTTCTTTATATGTCCAATAAAGGAACGACTTGGTAGGTTTTTGCAAGTTTTTAATTAGAACATTAAGATTCTTTCCATTTTTAAAGGCAGCATATTAGTTTATTGCTGCTGTAACAAATTACCATAAACTCAGTGGCTTAAAACAACACAAATTTATGATCTTACACTTCTTGAGATCAGAAGTCCAAAATAAGTTTCACTGGGCTAAAATCAAGGTGCCAGCAGGACTGCGTACCTTCTGGAGGTTCTAGGGAAGAATTCATTCCCCTTCCTTTCCAGCTTCTAGAGGTTGCCTGGGCTTATAGCCCCTTCTTCCATTGTCATAGTCAGCTGTGGAGTATCTTCCTGACTCTTTCTGACCCTGACCCTCCTGCCTTCCTCTTGTAAAGACCCTGTGATTACACTGAGCCTGTCCAGATAATCCAGGATAATCTTACCACTTTAAGATCACTAATTTAACCAAATCTTCAAAGTCCCTTTTGCCATGTAAGGCAGCATTTACAGGTTTAGGATTTAGACGTCTTTGGGGAAGGGGGATTATTCTGCCTACCACAGGCAGCTGTAACTCGACTTCCAGTAGAATTTTCTTTATTTATATTGTCCCCTAAAACTGCTGCCCAGAAAGGCTTAGCTAAGGGCCATCATTCAGTTTTCAGGAACAGCATTTGAATTTAGTTTTTAGGAACATTGAAAAGATTAATCTGAATGTTTTTTAAGTTCATTCTGTTATAGAGTTTTCAAGAAACACTCCAAATAATGTGGTCTGGTTCATATGGCATTTCTAGGGACAGTGGTTTTAAGTAATTATATTTTGTTTTGCTTTCTTTTGTGAAACATATGCAGAAAGACTTTTTATCAGAAAAGTACATTGTCCAAGCAATTTTGTTGTATTAATTGATTTTTGGAACTAAATTTTTTTACCTTCTTTTTAACTCATTTATTGAACTTCTAATTTTTTAGGAAAAATAATTCCAGTATCAATAATTACCAAAACACAAAACCCTTATCATGAAATTGAACAGTTAAGACACAAAAGAAAAGAATTTTTTTACAAAATTTCAGCATAATTATATTTTCCTCTATTTTTTATTGGAGATAACAGTGGTTCATTTTCTCTTCTGGCTTTTTCCCCTGGATGGTATCATTACAATTAATAAACATCTGTTTTTTTTCTGTTTCTGTTTTCATAGCTTAAAAAATGTATAAAAACTCCAGAAATCCCTTCTAAACATGTTAGAAACTGGGTCCCAAAAGTCTTGGAACAACGACGACAAGGTTTAGAAACATATTTACAGGTAAGATATGTTTAGATCCTCAATTAATATAAAGTAGCTTAAATAATCATGTGTCTATCTTTTCTCAGGACATGTGGGTGTGATGCAAAATATGTCAAGCAGCCAAAGATTTTAAATTAAAATGCTGGTTGGTTCTTTTAGCTTTGATGAGGTTCTATTTTAAATTGGTTATATGCATTGGGAAAGTGAAAATTTACTAATAAAGGGAAAAATTGATGTAGAGAGGACCTGTCTGTTTTTTATTCAACTCTATCAATTACTTTGTTTTTGTTTTTTGTTTTCCCTGTAAGGATTCATTGCTTCCTCATAGCAATCGCAGCTTTTAGGTTTTGGTGCCAGTCGGATTAGTGAGAGACACTGTATTTTCAGCAGACTGGCTAGTACATCTGTGGAAGCGAATAGAGAATGAGTATATAGAAATTGCCGGGCCGGCCCGGTGGCGCACTGGATAGTACGCCGCTTGGGAGCGTGGTGGCGCTCCCGCCCAAGGGTTCGGATCCCACATACAGACCGGTTCCCGCTCACTGGCTGAGCGAGGCGCGGGAGCAACGCCGAGGGTTGCGATCCCGTTGCCGGTCCCGGTCCGGTACGGGGGCGACACTGAGGGTTGCGATCCGTTGCCGGACACGGAAAAAGACAAAAAAAAAAAAAAAAAAGAAATTGCCTGTGATGAAGTGCCAACGTCTTTGAAAATTAGAATGTATGTTTAGAAAGCACGCATCAGGGTGCTCTTTTCTGCAGCTGAGAGGAATAAGCAGAACTACCTACGTGAGATCAGACAAAGGCACTCTCTCCTCCAAGTGACAGAAAAAGCAAAAGGACAATGTAGAACAGTATCAGTTTCTCTGAGTTTTGAGACAAAAAGGCCTAGAGGCCTCAGGTGACAACTCAATGTAGTCCTCATTTAGTTCAAAGAGCACTGTGAGTGGCAGGTGCTGGGACAGACAGGCCTGTGGTCAGCGGGTATATCGGGGCCCCTGCGTTCACTTGAGAGGTGACACATGAGAATGACTGAGGTGTACACAGCCAGGGGTGAGGAAGTCTTGGCTCTCAAGAAAGAAGAGGTGGACTTCACCTAAGTTATGAATTCATGACTGATCCACCTAAGGCAAGTTACATCAAAGAAATCAGCAGCTGTGTCTGTGTTCTTCCTTTGATATCTTTGAGACCCCTTTAAACATTAACCCTAGGGTAGGTTCTGTTTAGGAAGGAAGTGAGGGGCTGTGTGAAGCCAGAATGCCATTTCCTCCACGAGCTTTTGTAGATGGTTGTGCCTGAATTGCTGGAGATTAGAAGCTGAGAGGAGAGGCTGTCTCCACAGGCTTGTACTTAGTGATCAAGTCAGAGGGCTTTCTCTCAGTAGAAAGATGCCAGAGTTTGTTCCTGGCCTTCTGTAGTTTTCCTGGTCTTTGCAGTGCTAAAGTAGGAAAGCTGACCTGTGGAGGCCCCGAGCATGTGTGTGGAGGGCTCTCTTTAATGTTTCTCCTCTTGTGATTTTGGGCTTGGTGGAGGGACTCTTCGCTGCCTCTCCCTGTGGTGCTTAAAGGAAACGGGATCACAAATCACAGGAATGTGTGTGGCTGTGTTCCTTGAGACCCTTCAGAGCTATGAGACTTCCACAGCTTCAGGCAACACTGCAGAGCATAAAGCAAACCGAAAAACCAAAAAAACAAGACTTCAGAAACTGTGTGCAAATGATAAAAATGCATGCTCTCTATAATTAAATGGAATAAACAATGCATTCTTATTTGTAAGCCACATTTTCCACAGATATTGTATATCCTCAAGCTTTAGTTCTGAGGAAAGCTTTACTCTTCCCCCACCCGCTTCGTATTTGACACATGACTTCCATTACTACTCAGTGTAAACATTTTAAGTTGTTTGTACTTGGATATAAATATGTGGATAAAATCATCTGGCACAGAGAAGAGTTTATAGTGACACTCAAATTGAGCTTAGAGTTTTCTATTCTCAGAAATAGGGCTTGAAAGATGTGGTTGAAGGGCTGAGAGAGCTTGCTTCCTGTTGTTCATTTAATATTCAATTTGTTGGCACTTAATTCCCTGAGGAGTTCAAAGGAGCTTCTCCTTCTCCCTTTTCCATCTAATTCTATTTGCAGGCACTGGGAGCCAGAAAGAAGTTGCAAAGGGCTTGCTTCCTGTTGTTCATTTAATATTCAATTTGTTGGCACTTAATTCCCTGAGGAGTTCAAAGGAGCTTCCCCTTCTCCCTTTTCCATCTAATTCTATTTGCAGGCACTGGGAGCCAGAAAGAAGTTGCAAAGATGAGTGTAAACACTTTATTAATCCCAAGTGAAATGCAAACCCTAGCCTAGGAATCAGATCTTGATAATTTGGGGTGTTCAAGTCTCTTTAGAAGAAAGACAGTATCACTGTTCCTTCTGCTCGGCCATCTAACTCCATCCGCCCTCAGGCCCAGGCTGAACCCCGTGGGCATCACAGGCAAGTCTCAGCAGGCCCCATCCTGCTGCTAACCCATCTTGGCATTAGCTAGAGAGTATGGTCCCGATCTGGCCTTGAACCTAAGAAAGTAGTAGTACCTCCAAGCTATAGCATCTTAAGTTCACAGAGACCCTAGACGTTATCTAGCCCAGCTTGCCTCCTGCCCTTCAGTTGCGTTCGTGATCATTCCTCTGGCCTTAATTTCTCACCCATAAAGCAGGCAGGTCAGCTCTTGAGAAGGTCAGGGAAAACAACTCTTCCTTTTATCCAAGGGGCCACTAGTACATTCTGGACCAGGCCACATTTCCTAAGGTGGCCCACAATGCTGTCTTATTTTAGAGATGGAAAAACCAAGGTCCAATGGGATTCAGAAACTTGCCTCACCTCCTGGAGTATGTTAGGTAAAGAGCTCGGCCTGGAGTTTTAGTTGCCTCACTCCCAGTGTGGGCTCTTGTCATTATGCATCATGGATTTTCTTAGTAAAGAGAACATTTTCAGCTTTGACATATAGCTTTACATAAGGATATAATAATAGGTAAAGGAAAAGAACCTTATAATCATAAAGTATTACAGTTGACTATCACCCCAAATCCCTTGATAGATTGATAGACAGATAGATAACTTTTTAAAACTATAACTTGAATATTTAAAACCTTACGAAAAACTATGTGTATGGGGACACTCTGAATGTTGTATTTAAGTAAGAGACTCTTGAAAACCAGAAAGGTCAAATCACCTATTTTCAAAATTAATTTTGTTCTGAAATTTTAAACAAAAGGAAGCACAACCTATCTTGACATCTGTGCTTCTAAAATTCTTTTTCATTTCTTTGCTATTCACCAGTGGTTTGAAAATGAGAGGCAAAGAAGGCCCACAATTATCATTTATTTGGCCATTTCTTCCATTTCAAAATAAACTCATATTAATCTTTAAGATGCAATTTATAAATAAATATTTTCTTGCTTTTATATTTTAGCATCCCTCTTCAATTAAGTAATTTAAGTTTAAAAAAAAGTATTTTGGCAGAGAAGTAGGGATTAGGAACTTTTCCTAGTACATATTTTTGAATGTAGGTTTCTTAAAAATATTTTACATTGTGTTTCAGAAAGACATTTTATTTTTAAATAGAAATTTCAGATCTTCAGGGGAAAAGAAAGAAAATATAACAATCAATTAAAAGTAGCGTGATATTGCCACAGTGCAAATAATAGTCTTGCAGCATTGTGGATAATCAGTGAATTTATCTTCAAAAACTTCTGTTAGCCTAGTAATGTCCAAATGGTCATTTTCGTATATTCTAACAATGCAGCAACTACAGCTAATGTTATTTAGTTTTACTTGATTAGGGATTAAAAAAAAAAAAAAAAGTAGTATGAAGGCTCCATAAATGAGTTTTTATTTTTATATATACATATTTCTGAACCATTATCACTTTCCTTCTTAAATTGCCAAGTGATTTGGTTAGAAACAAATTCTCTCGGGCCGAACCCGTGGCTCACTCGGGAGAGTGCGGCGCTGGGAACGCCGAAGCCACAGGTTTGGATCCCATATAGGGATGGCCGGTGCGCTCACTGGCTGAGCGCGGCGCGGGCGACACCAAGCCAAGGGTTACGATCCCCTTACCGGCCACCAAAAAAAAAAAAAAAATCTCTCTAAAAAAAAATTAAATGTCTAAGTACATACAGTGTCTTAAAATCAAAATCTAGAATTAACCAAGGAAAGTTAAAAGTTACATTGGACATTTGAGTAATTTGAAGTATGGCAGCCTACCTGATAAACAATGAAACTTAATTTCATTTTCTAGAATCATTTTTTATTTATTGAATAGAAAATTGAGTAGCTTTACTTGTCATTTTTTTCTTATATCTTCCCCTTAAATAATGTACCCCCCAAAACTCCCTGAGGTTTAATGAATGAAGGAATCTGTCCTCTATAAAGGTAGAATTAAGCAAAACAAGATATTTTTACATGAATGGAAGAAAATTAATTGGCTATCATCCCAACAAAAGGTCTGTGCCAAATAAAGTAAAAAACTTTTTATTTTCCATGTTGCACAGACTAGAAATTCATCTACTTTGGTGAGTGTTTTAACTTGAAGATAAAAACAAGTTAGCTTTTGGTATTAATTTACCAATTAATGTTATACACACTATATGTGTATATGTGTGTATGTGTGTAGTTTTGCTCAATGATAAGCATTCATCAATCACCTAATGTGTTTGAGACAGAAGGATAGATCCAGCTTCAGAGAAGCCTTGAACCGTAGCGTAGCACAAGTTAAGTGACTGTAGTTATATTATCCATTTCTCTTTTCTGCTTTCCATGGTGTGAGCTTCATCTGTCCCCCCTAGTGGTACAAAAGGCTGCAGCACTTCCAGGTCTCCCCTACTCATACCACATACACCAGAGTCCAGGGGAAGAGTAGGATCTCCTCCAGTAGATATCACAGAAGAAGGAGGAAGCATCTCTCCCTACAGATCTCTTCCCAGGTGTCAATGGCTTGTCTTTGCATACATGCCCACCTGTGAACCTCACTGT